CGTGCCTCAATAAATAAGCCAAATGATTTATCCAGAATAAATTGAAATGCCATTGGTTTAACTTTGTGTACTGGGAGAACGTTCCTAATATTGAGTCCAAATGGTGTGGTTGTTTTAAGTAAATGTTCCCAGTGATTCTCTTTATCTTTGCAATTTTTGTCGCTCCAATTGGCATTATGGTCAATTGCAATCACTCTGAAATTTTAAATTAAGGGTGATTATAAAACATGTAAATCAACCTCCTACACACATGCACACACCTTCCCCACGACACACACACACACACATATATATAATATATTATATATATATATTTAACCTTTAAAAATATATATCATGTAATTATGGTAATGAACTTCTATATATATACGCAAATAACTTTCATTTTTGTTGGTTTATCAAATTGTGTGCTTTTGTATAATTACTATACAAAGCAAGATTATTATATGTCTTAGTAATTCTTTACACAAAATACTTTATTCAATTTCAGCGGCTGCATATGGCGCAGGAACTTACTTTGCTGCTAATGCCTCGTACTCTGCAAGTGACACATATTCCAGACCAAATACACAGGGACAAAAACACATGTTTTTTTGCCATGTTCTCGTTGGCAACTATGCCAGAGGAGCTTCAGGCATGCTGGCACCCCCAGTACAACCAAACTCAACGTTTCACAGTGTTGTTGATAATGTCGCAAATCCCAGTATTTTTGTCATATTCAATGATGTCCAAGCCTATCCCAGTTACCTGATTACATTTAAATAGGCATACTTGTATTCTTTACAGTTTTCTTGTTGTATGTACAAAACAGTACACATGACTAATGATATTGATAACACAAGGAAAGGAGTGGTGAGAGGTCATAACAATTTTGTAAAGAATGGCCTGGAAAGTGAAAGACCAATACCAATTATTATATTATAATAACAAACGATAGTTATAACATTCATTATTCATAACAACAAATTTAAAAATAATAAAAGTAAACATCTAAATTGCTTAAAGTAATATTTAAATGAATATGCACCTTCATAGTTTTTTACTGAATTTGAATTTGGTTTGTGGCCATAGAAAGGATGTTTTATGTTTAACTCTTGAGAATTTACAGTAGATAATATTGATGCTGAGGCTATTACATGTATAAGATATTCCTACCACTAAGGAACAAAAATACTATACAAGATCTAATGATGTCTTGTCTTTGGAAAAACCCAAAACGGAGTAAAAAAAAGCGACGTTTTTCGTATCGTGGAGCCAAATTATGGAATAGTCTTGAAAGTGCAGTTCAAAATGCAACATATGTTTATTCATTTAAACAGCTATTACCCAGTGGTTAAGTTTTTTAATTTGTTTATGTTTACTTTTATAAAAATTGTTCAGTAAATGGTGTTAATCTTTTTATTATTTTATTAATATCATGGCCTTGTAGAAGAACACCTTCAGGTGATACAAGTTTTTCCTTGTTTAAACAAAGCCTTTATTATTATTATTATTATATGCTTTTGCCATTTGAATGTCATAATGTTTACCAGCAACATATAGATAAGACAATATGAATATATATAATCAAAAGTTAAAACATTAGAAAAATATATTCTATTATGGTATAGTCATGCATCGTTCAAGGTGGACAGTTCTCACCTGGTCCTTTGTAATAGCTATCATTTCAATTTACTTTTTGAAATGTATTGTTAATAATGTAGTAATGTTTAGTGTTATTTTTAAATTAGGTGTTACTTTTAAATAGGAATATCATAACATTTTTTTTTCTGTCAAGTGGTTAACACTGAGAATTGAATGTCAAAGGCAGAGTTCTCTTGCCGGCGTTTGCGTAACATGCCCCAATTACTGTGGTGTGAACCAAAATAAACTTGAGGTTTTACCACGCTTTCTTTAGCTGTAATCCTATGTTTGCTTGTGTACAATATATGTTGATGTCATAATATTAGTTTAATGTGAATAATTGCATGCATTAGGCCATCCGTCGTGCTTTCCACGACTCTCAATTGCTCATATCTGTATACACGTCTTGGTATCTCTGGAAGTATACATTGATTCTAATTGTAATACCAGTAATTATTAGTTTCGGACATCACAATACCCAAGCATCGTGTCTATACCAGTATTTCTCTAGACTCTGCACGTGTATACCTATTAAAAATCTACATGTGCATGTTGTTTTAATCTAGTAGCGCATGGAAAACCATTTACTTTCAACTACTTTTGAATTGTAAACTTTCAAGTTAATCAGTTAAACTAGTATGTAGACCTACATTAAAGATGTACTCTCTGTCATGAGCTAAAAATTTAAAACAGTAAAATTTCATATTTAAATTGCTTTATATATATTTAAGTAAGCTATTAAGTTATTAATTAAACATCTGAATTAGGAACAAAGGATCCCAGTCTACTAAAGACAGTTAAATAATACTTTTGTTTATTCCTTTGCATAGACCCTTGCTCTAAATTGGCTTGTAATAAATTATAAAAAATTTTTTCAGGAAAATCTTTAACGGAAACTATATATTTTATCTGTTTCTGGTTAGAGAATACAATATCTTTAAATGAGATATTTAAAGCTTTTCCAAGTATTCAATTAGAGACTACATTTGGGACCTGAAAATTTTGGTGGTTTTAGGGTTTGATTTTTATAATATAGAGACCTCTAAATCGAGACTTTACGACTAGACTTTTAGAAACAGCATACTGTAATTAGAGGGTAATTGTTCAAAACCGATTGTAGAAGGCTTCAGACCTGCATTGCAGTCATCAAGGTGGGATGGAGGATGGTAAATTTACAAAAGCTAAAATTTACCTACTGCGTCGTACACTAGTTGTATGACCATGGAATCCAACTCGCTTCCTGTGATTGCTAAACAACGAAACATTGTCTGCTGGTGATCGGTGGCAGTCTGTACGGATCATCATTAAAAACGACCTGTTGCGCGAATGTTCTCCATACGGCCGTCCTGTGCAGTGAGTTTCCTGGATTCAGAGCTTTGAAAAAAAGTGAGGTTGTTTTCTGAAAAATGTATATTTAGATAAATTTTAGGTTAGTGACTGTTAGGTTATTATGCCTTTACTTTGTGTTTAAAAATTTAATTAATCTTATTTTAGTTAAAAATTGTATATTGTGGCATGTGTGAGATAAGATCTCAAACATGCGTTAACGATTCGCTGGGTTTCTTCCACTGGGAAATAGCCGAAAATCTCAGATTTCAAATCTTTAGTTAAAAACTATTATTCCTGTTAATTTTTAAATCATAATCATGAACATTATTTTTACTTAAACGGTTAAATTGTTTAAAATATTTTTATTTTATTTCCAAATGTGGTCTTGTGTTAGAGGTCAATTTTTCACTTGAGACTTTTGAAAAGATTAGTGTGTACGAGCACCATGCTTCTTAGAGGTTAAATGTGAATGCCTACGTGTCAATCATATTTTTTATTTTTAGATAAGAACATGTGACAAATTTTCTTGTATTCTCTTGACAAGCCTATCCCAGGTTACTGATACATTTATGTAGGCCCTACTTGTAAATGCATGAACTTGTGATTTTTTTATTTAAATTCAGTTTGTTTACACTTGTCTTAGTTTATATGTACAAAACAGTACATAGGACTAAATAGGATAAGGAAGAAGTGAATTTAATAAGAGATCATAACAATTTCGTAAAGAATGGGTCAGCGTAGCACAAATTTTAGTTCTAATGCAGTTTTGGGTATTTTGTGGTCTGGCTGATCAAAGCCTATAGGACACAAATTTGCAACACTTTCTTCCGGGGTAAACACTTGACTGATGTCTGTGTATTACAAAATTAAAGTATAACTAAAGTTTATACAATCGAGCATGTACCTTATGTTCAACTTAACTTCACAGTTTAATTATTTATCATTGAAACAATTATTAACAGTGTAAGCTAATTTATGTTGAAAAAAACATTAAAAATCATATATTTTCTGGCCTATTTTCACAGTTTTTGTTCCAAATACAAGTTCACCTCGTTAATTTAATAAACGATCGGTTGTTAGTTTCAATAAAAGGAAATATGTTTGCACTGTACTATAAGGTAGTTAAATGAGAGGAATCAATTTACCAATGAAGGCAAAATTTTTGTTTAATGAGAATGTGTAGAACCGAAAATTTGCAATGGAACCTGAATGTTTGTGACACCGGCCAGGAAAGCTAAAGACCAATACCAAATATTATATTATTTAAAAGAATTACAGGTACATAACAAATGATATTTATAACATTCATTCAGATATAAAGCAAACTCAAAAATAATTAAACAACATCTAAATCGGTTAAAGTAATATTTGAATGAGTAAGAATATGCATCTTCATATTTTGTTACTAAATTTGTCAAAACATATTTTGTGACCATAGAAAGGATGTTTTCTGTTAACTATGTAGAATATAGATAAGAGTTCCCTTTTCCATTTGAATGTCATTACAGTATGTTTACAAGCAACACGTAGGTAAGGCAAAACAAATAAAATGAAGCACATTCATTATAATCAAAAGTTGAAACATAGGAATAATATTTTCTATTATGGTATGAACGCCTACATAATAAGCCTAAGTGTCAATCATATTTTAGATAAGAACATGTGACAAATTCTCTTGTATTTTGCTTTAAACAGCTACTCAGTAGAATTAGTATTTACATTAATTTAGATAATATCATAGTGGTTGGAAATCGTGATGAAATTAATGTTTTGTTAAATTTGAATATATGAACGTGCATTAAATGCAAATATAACCATAGGAAAGTGTATTTGACTCTACCCTACTGTATTTGTGTAAAAAAATATTGTACACTGAGGAACCACTGATTGATAACCAGAAATAATTAATTTGAATTAAAAGTTGTATCTGATAATTTAGCTTACCCTTGTCTCATTTTATAGGCTATGCATAGACCTACATCATACAGCTATGTCCTGGTGGTGGCGATGACAACCGTGGAATAATAATTATTATTAATAATTATCGTCATTATTGTCATCGCATGTCACCATTTGTTATTGTTGATGTCGTCGTCCTGATCACAATAATCGACACTATCATTATCGTTCCGTTCCTTGGCACGTACTGGCCAAGGACATTTATTTCATCTTTTATATAAGGCCTAAATCACCATCATCAATATCATTAACATTTTAACTTTTAGATTGTTTATCTTACGTATTACCTATACTAATTTTAAAACTGTATATTTACCGACCAAATGAGAGAATTTAAAATAATGCACCTTCTAAAACGATATGTCATGTACTGTAGTTCAAACCAAATTTATTGCATAGTATAGGCGAAACTTTATTTTATAACTTGTTTAGCGAACTCGCCGAATGCAAATATTGATGATTTGGAATAAAAATAAAATTATATTTTTGCCCAGTTAGCGCACCCGTTTTCCTTGAAATCAATTACCGTACGTCCTCTGCTGCCTTGAAATCTCCAAAGGTAAGATATGTATATTTTTCAGGCTATACAAAATTGTTGTGTTGCCCTGAAATAGAAAAAGAATTGGGATTGTCGGTCGGTTGGTCGGATTTTTAAAAATACCTGATATTATGACAGGCCTCAAACTGCAGTCTAAACTGAAGGCTGGACTATCTCTAGATAAGTCTGGGCTTAGGAGCTTTTTTTTAGCCAAAAAAAAAAAAATAGTCCTACTGTCAGAATACATTCCAAGTATACAGGCCTATGTTGAAATAAATTCAATAAAAATGAATCAATAAGCAAAACGTATTTGGCTTCAAAAGGTAAAATACAGTAATGTGTTTATCCGATCCCCACTGAGTGTGCATCCAAGCTGAGCAGAAATCCAAAACCATGCAATAGTTATGCAACATTTCCAAGCAAGCAAGCCCTTTATGTGATACAATCAAAGTAAACTTGAGTTGTCCCACTATGGAAAAAAAAAAATCCTCCATGGTCCTAAACGAAACCTAAAACGAAACCTAAAATACAATCGAAGTGCACATTTTGAGTTGTCCCACGGGTCATTCCATATGAACTCAACCAGAGTTCCGCAGGTGACCGACTCCAATTTAGCTCAAATTTATTTTGGAGATACTGTACCTTATATGAGTAATGAACACGTTCATTACTCATATAGAAGTATCTCCAAAATAAATTTGAGCTAAATTGGAGTGCAAAATTCTAGACGTTTACTCAGATTGGAGACTGTCTCTTATACACATCTAGATGTGTATAAGAGACAGCCCCTTTTCAGCCTCGCGAATTGCGAACTTCAATTTATAGGGTTTTTGGAGGTCAATATCTTGGTAATAAGACAGAGTTAGCAGCTGAAATTTGGTACTCAAGGTATTTCTGGCCCAGGCTTTCAGAATTGATCTATCTCTTTTTATTTTCAAGCTACTGCCCTCTCAAATGTGTATCTTTTTATGTGGAAATCAAAAAATCAGTTTTCAAGTCATCCCTGTGAATATAAGAGCATTTACAGATAGTTAATTGTGCAAGAATCCTGCTATCTGAGGACAGGACTGTGTGCAAAAGAGAGATTGACTA